TGTGCTCCCTCTCCATCTTGCACATTCTTTTTCTCCCTCTCTCACATGCTCACTTTCTCCCTCCCTCTCTCTGGTGCGCTCGCTGTTTCTCTTTCATGTTCTCCCTCTCTGTCTTATACACTGTCTCTCTCTCTCTTGTACTCCATCTCTTCCTTCCTCTCGCTGTTTCATGCACTTGCTCTTTCTTTTCCGTACACTCGCTATCTTGCTCTTGCTCTCTCCGTCTCCTGCTCTTATTCTGTCTCTCATTTTTCTCTCTCTTTCATGCACTATTTCTCATGCTTGTTCTCTCTCTCACACTCCTCTTTTCCCATTGCCTAATGCAAGCTGACTGAGAGTAAGCACTGCAACCTAATGCAACGTTCCAATTCTTGGTCTGAAGCATTGACACCTATCCTTGATGACACTGTAACACTGTCTCCTCAGGTGTCTATCCAAATTTTTGTAAATAGGGGGAGCATTTCTGCCTCAAACATCCTTCAGATAAAGACCTGCACCACCCCCTGTTTTAAAGCATTAGTACAACTTCCCTATCATCCCTCTCCAAATTACTTTAAATCGATGCATCTGGTAATTGACCTCTTTGCTGTGGAATTAGGTCACTTTTATCAACCCTACCTGGATATGGTATACTTTGATCTCCCATCAGACCCTGTTTTGCCTATCTAATGTTTCCTCACTGTTAAACTTCCTCTTTTATATGCAGCATCCTCACACCCTGATCCCAGCTGTCTCTCTTTGCTACCCTTCATATTGTTGTCTTCTTTCACACCCTTTTGCAGTCCTTCTTGCACCCTGCCCTCTCCTACACACCTTTGCTTCTCTTTCTTCCCCCCTTCTTTTCCCCTCTTCCCTTATACCCCTGCTCCCCATTACATTATACTGGAAGATTGATGGGTGTTTTTGAATCTCCGCCTCAGTCGTGGCTATCACTGCATCCTTGCTGTGTTGCTGACCCTGCAATCTGTCTGTTGCAGATATGATCTATGTGGCTGGTGGATTTGATGGCAGCAGACGTCACACGAGTATGGAGCGATATGACCCAAATATTGACCAGTGGAGTATGCTGGGTGATATGCAGACTGCACGAGAGGGAGCTGGTCTTGTTGTGGCCAATGGAGTCATCTACTGTCTTGGTAGGTTAACTGTGCTTCCGTTGCATTAATCAAGCCTATCCTTGATATTTATTTAACTGTATTTATTTAACTAATATTGGTCTCTTAAACCATCAACCATGTGTGAGCCTTAACATGGAGTTTTAGTGAACTTCAGTCACTTATGTCTTCGTTTGACTGTCACATGTAGGGGCTTTGGGACCCTTGGTTGTGTTATTTCTTTATTTGTTTTAGCTGTTGTAGAGTCATAGAGGTCTACAGTACAGAAAAAGGCAGTTTGGCCCGACAAGTCAAAACCATCTAGCTATTCTAATATCGTTTTCAAACACGCAGCCCGTAGCCTTGTATGCCTTGACCTCACAAGTGCACAACTAAGTATTTGTTAAATTTTAGGTGCCTCTACCACCTTTACAGATTGTGAGTTCCAGATTCCCACCACCATCTGGTTAAAAATAATTTTCCTCACATCCCCTCTAAACCTTCTGTCCCTTACCTTAAATCAGCCCCCCCGATCATTGATCCCTCCATCATGGACAAAGTTTCTTCCTGTCTATGTTGTCTGTGTCCCTCATAATATTTTATACATCTCAGTCATGTTCCCCCGCTTAGTCTCTTCTCCTTCCAAGAAAACCAACCACAGACTATCTACTCTCTCTTCATAACTAAAACTCTCCAGTCCAGGCAACATCCTGGTAAATCTCCTTTGCATCCTCTCCAGTGCAGTCACATCCTCCTGTAATGGCGATTCCAGAACTACACATAAAAGCTGTGGCCTAACCAACATTTTATAGAGTTCCAGCAATCACCTCCCTATGCCTCAACTAATAAAGGCATGTATTCTATATGCCTTCTTAACCACTTTTCTACCTGTTCTGATACGTTAAGGGATGAGTGGACATGTACACCAAGATACCTCTGATCCTTAGTGCTCCCAGGGTCCTACAGTTCATCGGTGCATCACCTCATACCGGTCTGGAATGAATTCTATTTGCCACAGATCAGCCTGGTCACCCTCCTGCTAGTTCCTGTTCCTGCTCCTGCTGGACTGAGACCACTACCTTAGCATTCCTGCTGTCTTCTGCTCGCCCATCCCTAACCTGCCCATCCCACCTCTGCACCAATATAACTCCAATAACTGTAACACAGTACCTGCCCCTCACCCACTTCCTTATGAATTTCCAAGGTTAAACTTGCTCCCCAGAGCTTAGAATTTAATGGGGAAGTTTATAAAAAGTCATTTTGAAGTCAAGGTAAAGCATCCAAAAAAGACTACCAGAAGCAACTTGAGATGTTGTCATAAACCATGACGATTAGTCAGATATGATTATTCTCTCATCCCTCCGAATTCCCTCAGTACCATTTATATTGCATGTTCCTCCCTATTAGCCGCTCGTAGTTGGGATCACATAATTCTTTATTAAAATAATTTAGCTTCTGCTCCATCGTAAACTTCAGATTTTCAGCATGTTGACTCTAGCATTTTTGCAGCCTTTCTTTAAGATGATTATAGGCAGAGGTGAGTGTGAAAGGAGAGACCCCGGTCTGTGGGAGGGCAAGGTTAACCCACACGATTATGGTTTGCACCTCATTAAGTATTCACAAGAGACAGGGTAGTGGCCATGTGTAGGCAGCCCCGGTTCCCGCTGGGACTGAGCAGGCAGCTCCGGTTCCTGCTGGGACTGAGCAGGCAGCCCTGGTTCCCGCTGGGACTGAGCAGACAGCCCCGGTTCCTGCTGGGACTGTCACAGCACCATGTTTAAAAGACACCTGCACCTCCTCCAATCTGCTGTATTGATGGTGACAATGAAGCAAGCCATCTGATCCAGAGACTTGTTTGCCTTTAATTCTAGTACCTTGTTTCTATAGAGTCCCTACAGTGTAGAAACAGGCCATTCAGCCCAACAAGTCCACACTGACTCTCCGAAGAACATCCCACTGAGACTCCCCTTCCCTACCTTATCCCTGTAACGCTGCATTTCTCATGGCTAACCCATCTAGCTTAGGCATCGCTGGACAAAATGAACATTCCACCTAATCTGCACATCTTTGGAATGTGGGAGCATCCAGAGGAAACCCACGAGACACTGGGAGAATGTGCAAACTCCACACAGACAGTCGCCTGAAGCTGGAATTGAACCCGGGTCCCAGGTGCTGTGAGGTAGCCGTGCTAACCACTGAGCCACTGTGCCGCCCATTTGCTGTACCCAATGTGGCCTACTGTACATTGGAGAAACCAAATGCAGACTGGATGACCACTTTGCAGAACACTTCCAGTCTGTGAGCAAGCATGACCCCGGCATTCCCATAGCCGCCCATTTGAACACAGCATCCTGCTCGCATGCTGTAATGCTGCAGTGAATCACAGCACAAACTGGAGGGACAACATCTCATCTTCAGACTGGGCACTTTACAACCTTCTGGACTTAATATTGAGTCAGCTCCTTCAAATTGTGAACCCAGTCCCATTCCTTCCCTTTTTAGTTTTATTTGTTGCATTCTCTGTCACCATGTTCTCTCTTCCCTCCCCCTACTCTAGTGGGACTAACTGTTTGGCAGGTAGATACACCATTGTTCTGCCATTCTCACATTGCGGTCACTTAATCTGAACTATCAACATCCTTTCTCCACCAGTGTGCCACCCCTCCAAATGTGGCATAAATGCTGCCCCCTCCACGCTTCACATCAGCTCTGACGAAGAGTCGAGACTCGAAATGTTAGCTTGCTCTTTCTCCGTGACCCGCTGTGATCTCCAGCATTTTTTTGTTTTCACTACAGATTCCAGCATCTGCAGTAATATGTTTAAGAGACACACTGGACTGTCACTTAACCTTTGCTCAAGAACCACCACTCCCACCCCACACACCCTGAAGATGACAGAAATGAAGGAAAAAGTAGTACCACACTTCAGCCCTGCCACCACGTAAAGATCCTCTCCACGAGGCTCTTTTCCCAATAGATGACAGCAAGTGGCCATTCTGACTGAGGAAGGCAGCCTGGGCAGAGGTGCTGCAGAGGTCACTGCCTGTGGGTGGCACGAGAGAACCCAGCTCCAGTGCCTCATGAGAATGAATGATCTGCTGTGCTCTGCCAGGGTATGTACCACTGCCCCCGCAATGCTTCATGCTGCTGTGAGTGTGAGTTAGCATTGGAAGGTTGCCAGTGCAGAGGACTGTCATACGGGAGACTGGCTGCCAGACATCTTTGTCAGATGCGTTATGTGCAATCTGTATCAGTCACTTTATTGCAATTACCAATATAGTACCATTGGAACCACAGTGGTATAGCCTCTCACACATTGCCAGGGTTTACAGTTAAACCATAAATCAATGACCCAGACCATGGATTAAAGGTAAGCGGCAGGAGGCTTAGAAAGGATTTGATGAAAATGTCTTCTCAGCCAGAGGATGGTGGGAATCTGGAACTCCATGCCTCTAAGGATGGTAGAGGCAGAAACCTTGGAGAAGTATTTAGATGTGTACCTGGGATGGTAAGGCATACAAATCTATGGGCTGTGTGCTGGAAAATGGAATTGGAATAGTGAGGTGGTGGTTTTTGACTGGCGTAGACTCAATGAGCTGAAGGGCCTTTTCCTATGCTGTAGACGTCTGAATGTATAAAAGGAGCTTCAACGCTCAGCAACTCACTGATGTTTTGTCACAACTAGAACGTATACATCTGAGAACTTCAACTGCACTTCACAGCCCTGGTCAGGTTTGCTTACATCAGCCAGTGCGGCTTACTTGTTTGAGTAGGAGTGCTGACCTGGTTTATGCTTCATCTACCTCTCACACAATCCTCCCATTTAGTATGGATTCTCTTGCTTTGTTTGCCCTCCACAAATGCTTAATCTCGCAATTCTCTGGATTGAATTCTATCTGTCTGCCATTTTTCTGCACATTTAACCAAAAACATTGATATCCTGTCGTTGATTCTTTCTTCTTCATTGTCAACTCCATGGCTAATTTTTCAGTTGTCTGCACATTTCCAACTCAAGTCTCCCTCATTTAAATCTAAATCATTGGTGTATCTCACAGACAGCAAAGAACTGAGTCCTGTGCAACACCACTAAAAGCCGCTTTCCATTTGCAAAAACATCCATCAACCACTACCCTTTGTTTCCTATCACTGAGTCAGTTTTGGATCTAACTCACCACAATCTCCTGTATTCCATAAGCTTTACATTTCCTAACCAGCTTGACATGTGGGACCTTGCCACATGCTTTACTAAAAATCCATGTGGACAACATCCATTGTGCTACCTCATTCAATCCTTTTTGTGACTTTGTCAAAACAAATTAATTTTGTAATTTATTTAACAAAACCACGTTGACTGATTAATCCTTGCCTTTCAAAGTTAACAGTTAAACCTCTCTCGCAGTTCTGAAGAAGAATCACTGGACTTGAAACATTAACTCTTGCTTTCTCTCCACAGATGCTGCCAGACCTGCTGAGTTTCCCCAGCAATTTTTGTTTTAATTTCAAATTTTCCAGTGTCCGCAATTCTTTCTTTCATAAACCTATCTCTTGGTATTGATTCCAGCAATTTGCCCTCTATTCAGGGCAGACTGATCAGACTGATCAGCCTAAAGTTATTGAGCCTATTCCACTCACCGTTTTGTTTAAAGTATTGGCACTATTTTTCAAGCCCCTGATCCTCTGATACCTCACCTATATTGAGTAAGGATAAGAAAATTATTTTTGAAGCTTTTCTGCTCTGTGTTTACTGTGTACTGAGTGTGTCATGGTGTATTGCAATCCTCGTGGTTTTGTTCCAGGCGGCTACGATGGGATCAATATTTTAAGCTCTGTGGAGAGGTACGACCCACATACGGGACACTGGACACATGTCACACCAATGGCTACCAAGCGATCAGGTAGGCAAGAATGTGGGGATGGACTGTGATCAAATATTTAATTTAAAAATGGGCAGCTGTTTTAAAAAGTGGTCTTGAAGGCTTCAGCACTGCTGTCTCCAATTCTGTCTCACTTCCAGAGTGCAGGAAGTGATCAGGTGCAAAGATATTGCCCTTTCAAAGCTTTTGCTCACTGAGCTTGCTGTGTTGCACATCAATGTCAGCGAAATCCACAGCTGTGAATCTGGGGTGTTCCTCTTGTCTCTGTGTCGAAGGTCTTTGAGAGTTGTTCCCTAGGGTTAATTACACTTGTGCTGAACTCTCTGAGCTGTCCCATGGGGTTAGTTACTGTATGCTGAGCTCTTTGAGCTGCCATTGGGTTAGTTACTCCGTGCTGAATTCTCCGAGCTATCTTGTAGGTTAGTTACTGTGTGCCGAGCTCTTTGAAGTGTCCCATAGGGTTAGTTTCTCCAGTGGTAAACCCATATGGATAGTGTTGGTGAGACTGTCAGACTGGAAAGGGCTTCACAGCTCTTCTGTTCTACATGTGCATTTTTGAGGAGAGGTCACTGGATGGTAATGAAAAGGCTAGGGTCATGCTCTGATTTAAACACTCAGCTATTCACTTATAAATAAGTGATCCTATTTAGCTTTGTCACTCTGTCCTTATGATGTCTCTGAGATTGATTCATTTCATTTTCACCCTGGTTGATGCTGCCAAGATCATCTCATTAAAGATACATGCTTAAAGTAGGATCACTGCAGTTCCCAGGAATAGAATAGTATATTTCCACCTGCTGCAGCTGCACTAGTCTTGGCAAATGAGGTTTCAAGCCTGAATCATTTGTGATAGTACAATGTTTTTTACTGAATATTTCCAATCAGATAGTCAGGCTAAATGCAGGAGGACAAACGTCAAGGTCATTTGAGGGCTATGTCAAAATAAATTACTCCATTCACTGTGAGCAGACATCTTCAGCTTTGTTTATGTATAAGACTTTGAGATGAAGTTATCTCTTTTTCCTACACTCATAGATAACTGGTACAGACCGTCTGCTAAACCAGCCAGCACTGTGACAGACAATACAGTGAACAAATACCTGGTGAGAGATGGTGCAGTCACCAGCACTCCAGATGGAGAGGATTAAATGAAACATACCATTCCTGCTGGGATGATATAAGTGTTAACATTCGTCCCTGTTTCTGTTGACAAGAGACAGTTTTGTAGACTTTGTACTTTTGTAGATTCACCTTTGGAAGTGGTAGGAAATCTTGCAGAACTTTTCAGGAAATAAAATGCATTGAAAGAATGAGCTCTGTATGGTCTGTTTAACTTAGAAAATGACCAAACATTCTGACAATAAAGTGGTTGTTTTCACTTTGCAGCTGTTAGACCATATCCTGTAGGTTAGCATGCATATCCAAGATCTTTTGTTTCAAATATACATCATAGAATCCCTACAGTGTGAAAATAGGCCCTTCGGCCCAACAAGTCCACACTGACCCTCAGAGCATCCCATCCGAACCTATTCCCCGATAACCCACGTAATCTACACCTCCCTGAACACTACAGGCAATTTCCCATGGCCAATCCACCTAACCTGTACATATTTGGACTGTGGGAGGAAACTGGAGCACCTGGAGGAAACCCACGCAGACACGGGGAGAACGTGCAAACTCCACACAGACAGACGCCCGAGAGTGGAATCGAACCCGGGTCCCTAGAGCTGTGAGGCAGCAGTGCTAACCACTGAGTCACGGTGCCACCCCAAGTGAAGGAGCCCTTCGTCCCTGGGTGGGCACACATACACAGACATACATACATACAGACATATACACGCACAGTTTGTTGGTGCCTAGACTGAGCTAGGCAGTCCCCACTGCCTCCTCTGCCCGATCACTTCCCTCTTTTTCTTTCTTTTTACCCCTCCCCTCCCCTCCTCTACACCATCCAGCCTGTCCCCTGCTCTCCTCTACACCATCCACCCTGTCACCTGCTCTCCTCTACACTGTCCAGCCCGTCCCCTGCTCTCATGTACACCGTCCAGCCCGTCCCCTCTCTCCTCTACACCGTCCAGCCCGTCCCCACTCTCCTCTACACCGTCCACCCTGTCCCCTGCTCTCCTCTACACCGT